CGAAAACTGGGTTGATTTCGTCATAAACCTTCTGAACGCCAGCTTGATACTCACGTCGGGTGCATTTCACTTGGCCGGGTTGTTGAATTATTTTACCCGCGATATTTTTTGCCACGATCGCTGGATTTTGTTTTAAACAGCCTTGAAATTCCTTGCATTGGACAGGAAAGAACGACTGTTGTATTGAATACTTGTGGAAACAGGCACGACAGTCTGTCAAGCTATGTTCGGCCTTGTGTTCGATCGACAATGCCTTCCAGTTATCTGCGGAGAAAGCCTCGAAATATTGCTCGCGTTCCGTCTTTTTCCTAGGATTCCAGTTGCTGATTTTCTTGCGCAAGTTTGGCAGTTTCCTCATGAAGGTTTTAAAGTCAACTGCGAACTTCTTGCCGGGGAAACTTTGGGAGAAACGTTCATGAATAACTTGAACTGTACGCACGCGATGCTGATATGGCGTTTCATTGTTGACACGCTTTATTTTGACTGAAGCATCTCTGGTAATTCGCCAAATTGCTGCCTTCGCAAATCCACACGTATGTGGGTGAATAAGACTTACAACCATACCGTTAAAGTTAAACACTTTGATAAATTTTAGGTATACGCGCACTTCGTGACGTTAGTCGATCGAAGCAAGTTTTGAATCTGGCGCCGTAATTTTAATCACGCGCGTCTAGTTTTGACAGATTATAATCTTAAATCACTTATGAATCCTTAAGGCTCTTGTTTCATCATAACACTCAAGAATTTCACCTATGCAATATTGCCTTTGAAATCTATACTTAGTATGTCGTCTTTGCTATACATTTTTATTATATTATAACGTGTAGACGCGCTATCGTATGATACAAAGTTCTGCATAGATTTGTGTGAAAAATAGTTCTGTTGTATGCTTTGCGCGTACATTAGCTAATTCCTCTCACATATATGTTTACTTTCCGTGTATTAAATTGTCGGTTTTAACAATGCGAAAAGCAAAATGTGTCTTGAAACACGATTTATGCCTTCCGAGTTATTATGATCGCCATTTTGAGCGTTTTGGGTTGCCATGGCTATGTGGGAATCCGCTGTATTTACAATCAGGGCTCATTCGACACAAATGGCGCTTATTTTACGATCTATTTACTTCGCGAATGTCAAACTTCAACGGCCTTGCAGGAGAGGTTTTTATTATCAACCATTAAAGGCTTAAGCGCTACTAATCTGGAAAATATTTTGAACTTGCTACGAAAACTCGTAAAGTGAAATGATTTGCGCTAGAACTAACTTTAATGTGCGAAAATATGGAAATAGGTACGCGAGTTTCGACTTAGAATCCATTTTACGCTGTTATAATACAAGATTTCCACAGATACAAGGTTGAATATTATAGAGGGGTTCCTTGACAATGCATTAACAATTAAAACATTTTTCAACGACTCTCTTATCCTTCCCTACAAAGCGGTCGAAAAAGAACAATGCTTTTGTTACTATTTTTAGACTAATAATTGGTCACGTGACCAGTTTTTCAAAATTCTGTGTTCGTTAAAAAAATTCTGTAATCATATTGAACAGCATTAACGCTTAAAACCGGGCCAGTTTTACTTAAAATCCTTGTAAAATAATATTTTCTTTAATTTCATTATTTATTGCTGCTTGTGAAACCTGACCCAGTCATTAAACCACCTGAGAAGGAAATGTAAGTCCCTTTTACGATAAATTTTATCGATAGTCCCTATAATTATAAATTAAGACGGTTATCTTTTCACTTCGTTCAGCTACTAAAATATTACAAGAAAAAAACAAGCGAAAATATTGAGTTATGAGGCTTTCCAGAAATAATTGGGAGACATTATAATAATTTCTGTTGAAAAATATTAGATGCCTTAAGTACCTACGACTTACTTTTAACAGTTAAGAAAGGATTATCAAAGCTTGCTTGACCGCCATATTTAAAGTGCTCACAAGAAGATGCGATGACGAAAATAACATCACTTGAAAAAATCAATTTATTCATGTTTTTGAAGGAATAAATCAAGGACTAAAAGCTCACGATAAATAACAATGAATGGGATTTAGTACAAAATAAGTTTTGGGATGAACAAAATGTTTTATAATATATTTTTGGAGTTGAAGAGCGAAGTTTCCATCGGCACGTCATTTTTTTCTGAATACAACAGCAAAACGCCTCACTTTTTGCTGCAGAGAGATGTAAAATAGTCGGAACTAATCATAAAACTAGATTTGAATCCCAAGAATTGCAGTATTCGCATGGAAAAAGTGGTTTTCTTGCTCAAAAACGAACTTTCCACCAACTTTTTACGTTCCTGGAAAATTTCCTTAGTCTTTTTCAAAGCTAATTTTCCTCACGTGTTGGCTACAACGAATCATAGGCCTTCATCGTAGGAGTTATTATTCCAGTTCATTTATAGTTCAGGGGCATTAACTAAGAATAAAATGGCTTTACAAAATTGTTGGTCACAATAAGTTTTAAGATTACTCTATGGATATATTTCCATGAGTGTAGCTATACGAGTAATCATGCTAAGATTTGAATCGCATTTTGTGTTTTCTCAGCTGTTGAATTTTATCTCTTTAGACTGGACCAAAATTACTAACTTCTTATTAATTAACTGAACGCGAGGTCTGTACAGAGAAAGATCGGACTGTGGTTTTGTACAGACCGAGCCCGTAGGGCGAGATTTGTACAAAAAGACCGAGGTCCAATATTTCGCTGTACATGCCGAGCAAGTGAGGTTAATAAAAAGTTTATTATACAGCATTTATACTTGAAACAAACAAGAAATGCATAATTTGAAATGCACATTGGTAGCGTGGTATACATTTGGTCGAAAAAAAAATATGACAATGTATTCCTTCTTTTCCATTATAGTTTTCAAATTTTCAATTAGTTTGGCTGTTCTGTTTTAAAATATATGCGTCTGTTTTTACGTAATGGACCGGCAAAATAATGGACCGCTGAAAGTGCTTCTCAGCCAATCACATTCCGCTATTTCACTGGAAGTGATGCTTGCCATATAATAACAGTTATGAAATGTACTATTTTCACTAGGTAACTTCTGATTTTTATCAATATTTTAGACATCCTATATTAAAGTGCACCAAGTGAAAAAAGAAGGATTACAGACGACTGAACCTAGTCATGTTAGAATGAAAGAAAAAGATGTGACTTCTTGAAGAAAACATCAATGATTCTGGAGTACGTAAACTGTCCGTTCAACACAATGTTAAAATTCTATATAGCGTGTCTTCGTTACCTTAAACTGTAGAGCTTGCGTTACAGTAATTATATACAAATTCTATAATACCATGTAATTAATGTAGATTGTAACAAATTGTAGGCAATCGCTCTTTGGAAACAATGCGAAATATTCGCTAAAAATCGTCATGTGTCACATCGCCTGCAGTGCACACAAACACAAAGTATAAATGCATGAAAACATCAACGCGCTGCGTTCGAAATCATCGTTCTCCTGTATAAAATAGACATTTAAAATTATCAAAGTGACTATTTGACCACATATAGACGATATAAAATATAATATCTTCATCGCTCCACATAAATTATGTCAAAAACTGTTATTAATTAATTGTGAAAGGAACACTCCACTAAAAATATATTGAGGTGCAAACAAGAGATTGTACTTACGTTAGGTTACTTGCGAAGTTTGGAAAGACAATTTTTTTAGGTAAGGTGGTTCATCCAAATTTGTATAAAAATCGCTTATTGGACGACGCCATGTTGTTTTTCTCAAGCAGACACGTAAGGCCAGCCAAGGCCAGCGGTTCCACAAAAAATGACGTCACTGAGTGCTTTCATCCTTCGCGCGAAACTTCAAAAACTTTCATTACACTGTGGTAGAACAAGGGGGAATTTCGTTCTCGACCAATCAGCGCTTTTGTTTACATTTTTGCCCTAAGCCAATCAGAATGCGCAAAACGCTTCATCACATGAAATTTGTAAACAAACATATGGGGTTACTTCAGAGCTTTTCTGCAAGCGGTTTTTTGTTTTTTTTTCCATGAAATTCATATCTGTTGTTCTTAAAAGAATTCTCCTCAACTTCCTCGTGGCGATTTTTGATTAATTGCGTGATTGCGAAGATATGGGTCTTCAAACTTTGCCTTGCGCAAGCTTAAATACCACCCCTCAAATCTATATGTTCCGAACGGATTAGGGTTTTTAAAAGCCTTTCAAATCGAGGTTTGAGAGGTTTTATCTTCATATTTTCACATTAACTTATTAATATCCTGTGTACCAAGTAAACAGGACATTTCCGGGCCGGGACAAGTTGACATGTCGATTTCTTGCCAAACAGCGTGACGATCAATATGGCGAATATCTAAATAGAGGGAATTTTTAAAATTTTGTTGGTATAAATGGGCTAAAGAAACTCATCAAATATTTGGACTATGGACCTTCAAACTTATGCCGAGTATTTATTTGATTGATTAGCTCAATAACTGTTTCTTGGCTCGTTTTTCGTCGATTTCCACATTTTGTTGACTTCAGGATAATGTGTCAACATTGCGTGTTGCAACCTGTGAACATGAATATTTTCGTTTGTTTGACAATAACACTTGTCTTCATTGGTTTTAATCCTTGATTGACAATATATTCATTGGTCTCAGAGTCCTAAACTTAAGGAAGATGGATGACATTGGGACAGAATGATTTTGTTCAATGTTGCTGTTCAGGTATCAAAATTTATGGACATATATGAACTTCATTATTTTTTCTTCATCTGTCTCACTAGTCACAATTGAGCCCTGTTCATATTACCTGGCTAGGTGGCCTAAGGTGGGAGACAACATTGGCAAGTATGTCCTATCCTATCCTGCTATACAATCGGCCTGGCTAAGCGTGAGATTTCCATTGCCAGAATCCTGGCTATATGTAAGCCAAGAAATTCACCATATACAATAAGCACTGTATCCCAAACAGGCAACATGATAGGCTTCAAGCATGTGTTCTGGATAGCCTAGATCATATAAACAGGTCCCCAATAGATCCCGAGACTATAATTGAAACATTT